ATGGTCTTTAAAATATAACCATACAACTGGAATTAGGAGAGGTGGCCAGTTATGTTGACGATTCAAAGACCAGTTTTGTTTGGTAAGAATAGAAGTTAAGTTCTTAAAGGGTCTTAATTGATTGCTGTCTTGATTTCACTATATAGTGAAATCTATATAGAGCTGTTGCTTGGTTAAACCTCAAAAACAAAGATCTTTCTTCCAAAACCTAATGATACAAGATTTCCAGGTACTGAAGTTTAACTTCTTAGATTTGTTTACCCTCTTTGCTGTTTTATATCTTTATTTCAGCTTCTCTTGCTTAGTTGAATTCATGAGAACTGGATCTAAAAGTGAAATAATTCATGACTTTTCAAATTATTTAAAGATGTGTATTACTGAGGGGGGATTAGTAAGAACAGCAGTAGAGATGACACTTTTCTTATTTGCAATAGTACAGCTGTAAGTCATCTGCATGTTGCAGGATGACATTTCTGATGGGTGAGGGAAATATCCTGTTAAAACTCAGTTGGGTTTACAATATTTTATATTTATATATATATAAGTATATAAGGCTTAATAAATTATGTGCTTGAAGATTTGAGTCTCATTTGTACTGTACATTATTGTCATGAATTTTTCAAGAAATATATTTTTTATCTCTAAAAATACTTGATCAATTTTTTAAAAATGTCATTAAAACAATTAAAGCTTTTAAAAATTGTACAAGAATGTTCAGAAAAATCAACACAAAATACTTTCAAAAATTAAAAGTCATCTTTGAGTTATCCAAAAAAGACATAACAAAGAAAACATTTTTCTTTAGAAGATACAGTAGATTGATATTTTAGTATTACAGCTGAGAAAGTTGACTTGCCAGTGTTTGCCTCTGGGGTGAATGTTCCTCATGGGAAAAGAACAGAGACACATAACTGACATATAATATTAAGTTGTAATGTGGCTTAATATTGCCTTTGGTTTAGCCTCACTGTGAAAGCCCCCAAGAAGGAGCTATTATTACAAATTACAGTGGCTGAATTTGCAAATATATTTGCATATATTTTTACCCTGCAAGAAGCCTTAAAATAATGTTTAGGTTCCTCCATTAAAAATGCATTAAAAAAATCACATACACACACATACACAAAAGCTGCACAATGAAATTCATTTCTACCCTATCCATGTTTTTCCACAAGTAGCAAGGCGATACTGAATCCTGGCATGTAAAAAATCCCATCAGTGTGGATGCTAGCCTCGCGCTGTGTATAACATTAAAAAAATGATTAGATTTTTCAATCACAATCTCATGGAACCACTAGCGACCTCTTGCGGAATTGTAGTTGAGAAAAACTGGCTTAGAGCCTAGAATATTGAAGATTATTCTTCAATGTGTGCAGATGTTAGATTGTATAAGCATTCAAAAGAGATTTTAAATTGAGTAGCTGGGAAATTAGCTGCAATTTAATAAAAATTTACGGGCTTTATATTAAATTTCTGTCAGAAGCAATTATGTTTTATGTTAGCTGAAGCTTCCGGTAACTTAACACAAGTCCCTACTCAGATTTATATACTATGACTAACCTTTTATTAATGAGAAAACATTTACTATCAGAACCATTTTTTTTCTCATGAGAACTTAAATTCTGAAAATGGTAATGTTTTCTTGATGAAAGTTGCAATCCTGTGCATGCTTCCTCAGATTTTATTGATGTAAATTGTTTAACTGCTGTTTTAATTTATGGTGACAAGATGTTTTTAATTTCAAGATGTACAAATCATATTTTTAAATATTTCATCAAGAGAGAGGATAGAGTCAAATGTTAAGCTTTTTTATATCTATAAATGTTTATAATATATTTAATTCTAGCACAATGCACATTATATATCTTTAGAAGTGCTCTTGCATGTTTTTGTTAAAATAAGTGTTTTAAAAGTAGACATTTTAATAAAAAAAATCAAAGATAAAATTTACAAAGGTTCTTATAGAGATCTAGCCCCCTGCAGAAATCTACTATTATAGCATCTTTAGCAAATGACAACCCAGACTGTTTAAATACAGCACAAAGAAGGGTCTACTAAGATCTTCCTGATGTTCACCTCGAATCTTCCTTGTAATTTAAATCCAGTATCGCTTGTCTTCCTGAACAGATTTGTAAAGTGCTTCCTAAATATATTTTTCTTAGTTCTTCTGTGTTGTACCCTATTACTTGCCAAGAGGCCCTCATCTTGGAAATGTGTTCCATGATCAAACCATTCCCTATGGTACGATATGCATGCCACCTGTTTGCTTCCAGTATTCTTCTCTATTTTCTTGGACCAAGGTGGAGTGAAGAAAATATCACTTGTATCCTCAGCATCATCTTCTTGAAGCTTTACCATACAGTATCTTCAAGATTGTATCATTTATTCCCATATGGATTAGTGATGAGGGATAATGGTTAGTAGACATCAAGTAGTGGGAGCCTTGTATATGTATGCTATTTTTTATATGCCATCCAGTCTTAAGGACTCTACATGGTTAAGAATATGATAAAATTATACCTGTAAAAAAAGAAAAAGAGACAAAAGCCCAAATATACATAAAGTTAAAAAGTAGAATACATAAAATGTCAACAATTGGCACAAAGAAGTAACTATGGTAAAGTTATTGTTATATTTTTAATCTGCTGTCAGTTCTCCTGGATAAACCAGACTTCCATGACTAGATGAGCTAAATCTACTTTATTGTAAGACTACATTAACAGTTTTGCAAATCTGAAAGTACAAAAGTCCCACCCCAGTTTTAATGGCTCCATCCATTAGGTTGGGTTCTTTCTAAGTTTCTTAATCTGACTATTATACCACTAAGAGCTCCTGCCTCTTTTGTCTGATTGTTTCCTGGGCAGCATTTCTTCCACATTCCTCAAGATTATTTACCCATTCCATTACCCTTGTCCTTTATATAGGTCAGCTATATATAGGTCAACTCAAGGCAGTGTACATATGTAATACTCTGTGCCTCCTATTTCCCCACAACAACAATGTTGTGAGGTGGGTTAGACTGAGAGAGTAACTGGCCCAAAGTCACTCAGCTGGCTTTGATGCCCAAGGACGCCTAAAACTCACAGCCTCTTGGTTTCTCAACCACTACCATAACCACTACACCAAACTCAATTAAAGTTCAGAAGTTCTCACAGGAAGATACCAAGGTTGCAAAACATCTGAGACAAATAACAGACTTATTCTTAATTAACTCCTTGCAGACCGATTACCTCTCCCCTCCCCAGCAGTTTCAACATATGTTAAAGAGAAGTAGAAGAAAGCAGAGCCCTTATCCACTTCATAGACTAAGGTTGTCCTTCCATCACATTTGAAACTGGCCCTTCAGGAAGGAAGGCAACTATTGCAAGATAAGGGCTCCCGCAATCGTACTAAAGTCCAATGACAGATCAAGAAGGACCATGTTGTATTTCCCAATTTCTCAATAGGTTGCGCATTAGTCATGCTTATGGGCAACCTATTGAGAAATTGGAATTTGGGTCTGTAAATCCAAATAATCCCCTTCCTTTAGGTCTCAGTGGAGCTGAGAGCTATTCTCTTTACGCTTGCCCCCAGAAAGAGCTGGATTGTAGACAGATCTGAAATGTTCCAGAACAAATAAAACAGAAGTGATATAACAGCCCCCTCAAAGAAAGAAGCATTGTTTATCACTTGACTGCAACTCCCTGCCACCTCATAAGAGGCGTGTACTATTCATCAAACAGGATATGATGGAAGTGACTCTAAAGAAAGCCCTCAGGGGTTCAAAGCCCTTCACAGGTTCAAAATGATCCCAGGTCACAAGACAAAAGCCCCAGTCACTTCTACTGGTACTGTCCTGTTGGATTCAAACACTCTTTCATTACAACTTGAATGTGAATCCCAGAAAGAAGCTCACACTGTATAAAACACCCTGAAGCTTGTAGTAACTCCTCCAATATAAATTGAAAAGCTCTGGAATATATTCTGAAGCTCCAAAGAAAAAGACACCTTGGCTAGCGTTTGTTTTTCATACCAAATTCTTCCATTTTCTCAGCCTGGCTTTGTTTGATTTTCTACAGGCTTCTTGGTGCTATTATCCCTCTATAAGCACTTCTGTATTTGATCAAGAATTCCTCATCTTCCCTGATAAATTGGGGAATGGACAGGTTCACTTCTGCACTTACTCACTTTTCTTCCAGGAAAGCAATCAACTTAGACCTGCTACATGTGTAGTTCTTGTCTTCTCCGGGGAGGAAAGCACACATGTCCTCAACAAGTCGTGAGAGCAATTCTCTTTGTTTATGCGTTCCTCAGATAAACAGGGAGGGAGTGGAAAAAAATCTCGTTAAGATTCTCAGTTATATTCCACAAAATAGTCATACAGAACATTTGATGAATTGTCCCTGCCATTGGCTTTTAAGAGGAACCATCCAGTGGACTTTGTCACCAAAGTTTTGTTTGCTTTCCCTATTTGCTCACTCGGTAATTTTGATATTTCTGAAATGGATATCTTCACTTGATCTTTACTAAGGAGTGAATGAAGTTCAGCACATTTGAAGGGCATTGAGTTGGGGAAAGTTGTTTTACAAAATGTGAGAATGGATTGGAGAATGGATAAATTCAGCTTGGCAAGATAAAGCTGATATAGATGAAGTTCAGTGTAAATGGACTTTGATTTTTTTACATGAGCCGCTTTTTTAGTCACCATTATAAAAAGCTCATGTGTTAACTTATTTGTTTCAGTGACTTGCTTGCTTTCAATCTACAAAATGCTACTTAAAATGAGTTGATGTAAATCTTTCTTTGCTGTTATACTTAGCCTGATAAATATATTTTGAGTTTTTTTTATGCTAATACACCCCCAAATACAACTCATGTTGATAATATGAATAACTTGCTTTTTCACTTGATAGTGTACTTTATTCACAAAGTGGAAATATTGTGCTTATCTTTAATTTCCTATGTGAGAATGAATGCTGGTATATGTTCATACTTCGATCTGTCGATGCCACATAAATCAACTGTCAGATTGAGAAAAAAAATAAGACAGTTATTAAACATTTGTAGACTTCTAAGAGGTAAAATTTGAACATTCATATTTCTTCAATATGAAGAAAACATATTTTCTTTCAGACTCCAATCTGTTATAGCTTACTATTCATTTGAATGAATAGTAATGTTGGGGTTATTTTTCCACTGCACTGAAGTAAATCTGTCCAATTTTAAACATAGTCAGAATGCAAAACAACCTTGCTTGTAAATTTAGGATTCTAGCAGGATAGTGAAAGTACTTTTTGAGTTAGCAAACATTTCGGACAGAAGATGCTTGTATCCTGCCTGAAAGGCTGTTGATTTTTGTATGTTATTTTTGTCCACAGAAAAGGCTACAAATGAGTGCAACACTGTTGAAGATTGGGCAGTTATTATGGATATTTGTGACAAGGTTGGAAGCACTCCTAATGGGTAAGACCCACCAGCATCTTGAATGTCATTTTGTAAATACTCTGATTAATTTGTGCCTTCTGCCTAGATCTGTCATTTTAAGCTTATATGCATATTTATATATATGCTTACTTACAAACATTCATATACATACCAACACACATACTCCCAGACACAGAGTGATTATGCTATATTATCTTGTTTAAAAGGTTGTGGGGAGAAGTAGATCCACTTTATATCAAATCAAAATGTGTGCCTTAAAACTAGGTCACGTTAGAAGATGTCCAGAACAGAAAGTAGCTTTCGTATGTGTTATGAAGAAGGACAACCAGTCAGTCCTAAGGGGAACATAAATAAAAACAGCAAACTTTTCTGGCAGTCATTAGTTTTATTCTCAGAAACTGGTTGTTATTAATTTCCACTGTTAAGCAGTTATTTTTTTTTTTAAAAAAAAGGCTCATGAAATGCTCGAAGTTAGACTGGACTAAAAAAAGTAAACTATGGATGGTTAAAAGACACCGGCGTCTGCTTTTATTTGAATAATAAAAAAGTATTTCAAGTAGTAATTAGCATGCCAGGACTGTTTTGCTTGTAATTGTGTTTGTGTGTTGTTCTATAGGCTATTGTTGTCTAAACTAGACACATGAAACATTTCCAGGTGATTAGGCCCTTTCACATTACCTTTTATATCAACATGTAGGAAGGTGACAGGTTTGCCTCTTGTTGATTGCTGCTATAATGTCTATGTTCATATGGACCCAGTAAAAAAAATAGAACTCAGCCATTTGTGAATCCCTAGGCACATAGAACCTGTTAGTATACTCTGTACACATGCATTCAATCAGTGCTGAGACAGCACGTATGATTCTGCTGCCATTCCCTGCATTACTGTTAGCCTTTTAAGATAGGCTAGTTAAGGAAAGCTGTCCTTCTTGACAGCTACCAGCAGCAGTGTTACTCCTCCCTCCCTCTCCGCCCCTTCTAGAGTGGCAACTTTAATTTTCTTTTTTGCACTATCTTGTTTCCCCAGACTGAGCTCGTATTTTGCTGGCTGCTACACTCCTTCATCACAACCATTTCCATGACACTCTACAGTAGATATTGGAGCCACATCAATTGTCTTGTTATAGCAGCTATTGTGTTTTTTAAACTATTGTTTATGCCTTAGTTTATATGTGAATTTAGTTACAATTCAGTTATTGAACAAACTGATGTGGGAACCCTGACCAAATCAGAAACTGAAAAATAGCCTTAATAAACCATGATTCAAGCTGAAGCGTTGAAATACTTAAATAATTGAAAGCTACCTATTTTATCCTGGACATTTTCTCTTAGAGATAGGTCTATTGAACTGACTGTGGCTTGCTTTGCAGGATATGATTGGGTTTTGAGGTTGAAGTATTAGAAGTGGATCTTTTGTGTCACTAATAATAAAATGATGCCCCAAAGCTCTTTCTTCAATGTCTTCTTTCTGGGACTTTTTGTTCTCTTTTAAGTTACTAAAATAAGAGACTGACACAGATATTATTTTATCTAGAGCAAAAGACTGCCTCAAAGCCATTTTAAAGAGAGTAAATCATAAAGTACCCCATGTTGCGCTGCAGGCACTAACTGTAAGTATGCACTTAATTTATTCAAGGGTGAAACTTCTCATGTTCTTAATAAAACAATCCTTGTGAACTTTAAAAAAAAATAAACTATTGATATTGATGACTAAAATAATATTTATCTTATTTATTTCTCTGTATTACTGGCCTGTTTTTTTCCTATCCAGCTCTAGTGGAGAGGGATTGAATAGGATTAATATCTTTATCAATTGTTTATATGGGCAGCTTTTTGCAATTTATTGTGAATTGTCTCATTTATTCAATTCTATTTTCATTTTATTAGCTGTTGGGAGCCTGTGTATCAAATTGTGGAAAAATTTTTCACTTAGAAATCTGCTCACGTGACTTTGCCAGTGAAGTGCGTGTCATAATAAACAAGGTGAGGTTTTTAGATGTGTCATATTTATAGAAAATAAATAAAAAAGTGTATTGATTGTTTCACTGCACTTATGTTTTGCATTTCTAATATTAACTTAGAATATAGAAATGAAATAAAGAAACAATATGGTGTTGATATAGAGAAGGTAAAGCTGTACAAAATTATGGTGTTATACTCAGAAGATTTGCTTTAATCATGACTACTACAAAGAACATTTAATTTTTGCAATATCTGAACTGACAGCTTCCGCAGAGGAACAACAGATTGCAAAGAGAGGTTGAATATTCTCCTATGCTGTGTTACAGTTAAAACAGCAGGAACATGTCATAATTGTTTGAACAGTGAATTATGAAAGTGACGCAGATACATCATCCGTGTTTAGGATAGTACTGTCAATGGGGAAAGTCGGATTCCCTTATGAGCCACAAAGTTTATTTAATTGTAGTGATTTACTTAATACCATGGTGAGAAAGGTTGTAAAATCAGGCATGGCTCACTTTACTGCCTTGCTTAGCAATGGAAAAAAAGTCAAAGAACAGCTGTAGATAAAAACAGAACCCAGAGTCACTTAGTGAGTTGGGAAGAGATTGTGGACTGTTTAGAGACAGTATTGTTTTGACAACATTTAGACTGCAGAAGGTCAGCCAAAAAGATAGGGATAAGCAGGGTAATGCGGGGTCTCAATCTGCACCCACTAAGGTTTGTTGGCTGTTTCAAGAATCGTACACAGGTGTTGGAACTAAACAATTGGTTAGATCCAGAGCTACTCACATCACTCCTTGTCCTCAAATATAGCATGCCTTATGGTGTCACTTGGGAGATTGTGGAGTTGCTATGACCTGAAGGGGCTTCCCAGAAACCTGCAGCCTCTCAATTCCTTCCTCTCCAATTAGTTCTTTCTAGAGACTTACTGCTGATAAGTCAGTATGGCCATGTGGGGGATGTGGCTTATATTAACAGCTGAATTGTATTAGCTGTAAAAAAGACTCTGCTAGAGAAATGTCAAGTCATTGTTTGGGTCCAGATTGCTGAAAAGAGGAAGGAGATTTTTTTTTTTTTTTTTTTTAAAAACTATTTGTGCTGAAGCATGAGGTTACCCAGTTCATGCATCTGAACTGAGAACAGGTAGGAACAATCTCTTCCTGGAGCCAACCTGAGATAGACTGGCTATTTCTGGAGCCTAGGAACTGGCTGCCAAGTTGGTGGGCAGTTCCTTTATATAGGCCTACCAAGAGATTTATTTATTTCTGTATTCATATTTACGTCCTGCCTTTTCTTCAAGAGCTCCGGGCAGCATACATAGGAGCTTCTTCCAATATTTTCCCACAACATTAATTTTATGGGGCAAGTTGGGCAAAAAGAGAGCAAAGGGACCAGATCCATTTTCCTGTGGCTGAGGATGGACTTGAACATGGGCCTCTCTAATGCTAGTTCAACTCTTTAATCACTACATTACATTAGCTCTCATTGGTTTTTATATTGTGAAGCTAAGTCTTTTAATCTCTGTGTTAAAATACATGTCATCATAACAATGGTCAGCTATCTCTAATATCATTTTTTAAAAAAATTTCTGTTAAACATGTCAGATTGTAGGTTTTCTTTGGACAATCAACTTTTTTGGCAGTTTGTTTTGTCAATTATTTGAAGCTAATTTTGCTTCCGCCTATTGTGCTTTCCTTTTTTAGGCACACCCTAAAGTATGTGACAAATTAAAAGCTTTAATGGTAGAATGGTCAGAAGAATTTCAGAAGGACCCCCAGTTCAGCTTAATATCAGCCACCATTAAATCTCTTAAGGAAGAAGGGGTTGTGTTTCCTACAGCTGGGACACAGGTAAGAGGTTAGAATTCATTTATGCCTACAAAAGTTTGGGGTTTTAGTGCTAACAGGAGAATGACTGAATTTAACTTTTGAATGTGACCTCTATCCACATTCAGTTATCCACATTTTAATGGCATCCACCAATACAATTTTTTCCACAAGCACTTCCCACACAGGTACAACAGAGCTGAGAGATGCTCTGTGGTGCACAGGGCAAATGGGCCTTGGGATGAGTAGACGCTCATAATACATTATTATGCCTACTATATAATATACACAATATGTATGTAAGATTATTTGCTTCATAAACACTTTTAACATTGATTGGAGTCTTTGCAGAGTTGGATTATACTCTGTGTTGAAGTGAGAATGATTACTATAGAATATTAACCCTGCTTTTGAAAATGTGCAGAAACAGTTTTCAGATCTAAAATGCAGTTGTATCAAATGAAGCACTAAAATGCTTATAATATTTGTGTTGCTTAGACAAGGAAGTGTTCTGTACCAAATCCAAATGTATAAGAGCAGATATACCGCAGCTTTAAAAACAAGGACATATGGTTTATCCATATTTGGGTTGTTTGAATGGACCTGGCAAGTATCCACAGCCATTTGCTGTGAGAAAATGACTTAATCTAATAGGCAGCAGTCTTTCTCCAGGACCAGCTCAGCCTGTTACTCGATTTGTTTTTGTTTCATGACCAGCTCAAGGTTGACTCAGCCTTTCATCCTTCTGAGGTTGGTAAAATGAGGATCCAGATTGTTGTGGGCAATATGCTGACGTTTTAAACTGGTCAGAGCGTGCTGTAAAATACTATGGAGTGATAGATAAGTCTTAAGTGCTATTGCTATTATTATTAATAGTCAATATGTGACTTTGGTTCACTCCCAAAAATGATAACTTCTCTAAGCACCTGTTGGGTATGATTCCTATGTTTTCTGACTTTCAACAATTAAAAAATACTTAGCACAAAGTAAGCTAAAATAATAGCAGTATTGTTTTCAAAGTGCAGGCAAATATAGAACTTTTCCCACTTGAAGTAGCATGTTTATATTGCAAGTATATTTACAGAGTCCCTCAGCTGCTGCCAAGAATGGTGCATCATCAGGCAAAAACAAAGAAGAAGAAGATATAGCTAAAGGTAAAACTTTAGTCATCAGTTCTTGAGTGATAACAATATTTTACATGTTTCTAAGTTTGTACTTGGGAACATGCTTGATGGTTAAAATGTGTGACATTTTCAGCTGAATACAAATTCAACTTGAATCTTTGCTATATGGCCAGTAATAGCAAAGGAAAGTTTGAACAATTGTATTTTTTTAAACTTTGTGAAGGAAGCAAGGAAGCTATAAAGGAAACAGATGTATATCTCAGCAAATGCATTTTTAAAATGCTTTTGATCTGCTTGGAATTCTAAGGATGTTTGCCATTTCTTAAAACAATTTTCCAAAAGTATTACCATTTTATATTACAACTTGCCAGTTTCTGATTCTGCTATTTTTAAATATTTTGCACATGTTTGGAGTTATTAGATGCTCATAACCCTAGCTAACAAATAATAAGTATAATTATTTGAGTTGGATTTGATTTCACTTACACAATATAAATTGTATATGGATTTCCTCAAACCCGTTTTTTAAGAATTTTTGGCTTACGCTTTGTGTATTGATTGAGTTTCTTCTTGTTGCCTGGTTTTGAATCTTTTCATCTTTTTGGTTTGTTCACAATTCATAAGCTAGAAACTCTCATCACAGAAAATTTCAGTCATATTGACCCTATTAATTAGAGGCATTAATGCTCTAAGAACTATGTGTGACTTAATCATGCTTTTAATAGCTGTGTGTGACTCTGGTCACTGAGAATTCACACCAACATGATGACACTTAAATCAGTCAGACTGCCATGGCAATTTTGTTCAAATCCTGCTTTTGGAAGAATGTCCATATATATTTGGATGGGACCATATAATAAACAGGTTCAGTCAATCTCTAAGCAGTTTACAGGATATAGTTAACCTATGCCTTATTTAATAGTTACTATATGAACGTCTGTATTTTTCTACAGTACTTTAAGGTGGTGAATTTGTATATAAAATTATAACTACTTGTTATACTTATATACAAGGCTGCAACCTGTTTTGTCTTCCTCCTCCTAGTTATACTGTAACACTTCCTGCCTCGACAACTTCAATTTTCAATCTATAATAGTGGTGATAACTGTGAAGCATTTTGAGAAATTAGCATCTTGTTTCCCACAGTCAACAGAGCTTGGATGTACTGAGTGGCTAGATTCAGTCATCATGCTAAGTTTAACTGGTTTATTGAGTAAAAGACATGGCTGTATTCACATAGCTTGCTAAACTAAAACTAAGAAAACGGCATGACAGCTTTCTTAGGTTTTTTGGAGCATGTTTACAAGTAGAGTTTTTGGAATGTCCCAATTATTTTCTAATCTCAGCATTGGGATGTACCTCCATTCACAGATCAATTCATCCAGAATTGGCTATATGTACTGATAGTCCTCCAGTTACGACCACAATTGAGTCCAAAATGTATGTTTCTAAGTGAAACATTTGTTAACTTTCCCCCATTTTAGATCTTTCTTGCCACAGTTGTTAAGTGAATCATTACGGTTGTTAAGTTACTAATGTGATTGTTAAGTGAATCTGGCTTCCCCATTGACTTTGCTTGCCAGAAAGTCGATCACATGACCTTGGGGAACTGCAACTGTCATAAATATGAGCCTGTTGCCAAGCATCTGAATTTTGATCACATGACCATGGGGATGCTGCAACAGTCGTGTGAAAAGCAGTCATAAGTCACATTGTCAATGTTGTAACTTTGAACAGTCACTAAATGAACTGTTATAAGTCGAGGACTACTTGTACAAAGTTCTGAATGAGCATCTTTGTATATTTTTGATGCCCGAAGCTAAAATCAAATGAAAAGACACTTGAAACATTTTAGAGAGCTTTGTGCTACATCATGCCATGCAAGTAATTCACATAATTTTAACTGGCATAAAATGTGCTTCTGTTCTTCAAATTTGTAGCTATTGAATTATCTTTGCAAGAACAGAAGCAGCAGCAGCAAACCGAGACAAAATCTTTATACCCATCTGTAGACGTTCAGCATAGCCATCAAAAGCTCTCAAGAAAAGTGCGAGCCTTGTATGATTTTGAGGCAGTCGAGGATAATGAACTTACCTTTAAGAGTGGCGATATTATTGTTGTTTTGGATGACAGGTATGTTTGTATTTTTATTATTTGTATTCAGATGGGGATTTATTGCAGTTAAATATGTCTTTTAATATGCTACCTGCACTTTGAACAACTGCCTCAGTGATTATTTCCAAACTTTTCTATGAACAAGGTTGATTCAGTTCAATAAACTACAATTTATTTACTATTCAGAAAATTTCCATAGCCATCATTTTCAGTAAAAATGCACTCTCCTTATTTGAGTATAAATTCAGTGCAGATTCTTCAGCACTCAGATGTGGCTTCATTGTTAGTTAGGCTATACCATATAACATTATTTTGTTAGGCCTTTTTTTCCAGAATAACTTTTACGGAAAAATAGAATAATGATCTTAGAGCCAACCTGATGACAGTCAAGTTGATATATATTTGTAAAGTTATTAGAGACCGAAGACATTGCAATTTAATTATTGTTTATGGCTGCTTGGAGAATATTTTGCCAGAGGTTCTGCAAGAACAATTATCAACAGCTTTTCCAATTATATTACTCCACCAGCTCACATTCCCTATTAATTGAACTTTTTGCCTTTGAACTTTTAGAGAGAGGTTACTATCCTGATTTTTAACTTATTTTAACTATTAGCAAATAGAATAGAAAGTATGCTGATCAGTATATCCTTGAGCATTATTTTTATGAAATTTTTTATTAAAATGAAAATCCAGCTTAAATTTTAGTCTTTAAAAATGATTATTTTTTAATTTGCCTTGTCTGTAAAAAGTTATCATTTTTTTAAAAAGGGTATAGGAACCACTCTTGTTCATGTATAGCTGGTACTGTTTGTGCATTTAAATCATGACCTACACCTTGTAATAAAGTTAAAAGGCCCAAGATTAAAAACTATTGTAATTGCTATAACTCTATCCCACTTCCAAAGTCTATTTAGAAAATTATTGCCCTTAATTGTTTTGGATGAATTGGGTCTTTCTGAGCCAGATGAAGTTTCAAAGAGAAAAAAATAGGCATTGCTAAGAGCTGTTTCTCATTAGTTTGTATTTCCTAATGGATAGCTTCTCATCGACATCTTTATAGCCATAACTTTCCCCACCCTTGTGTCCTCTAGATGAATTGGAATTATAACTCTCAGAATCCTTGGAATTACAGTCCCAGCATATATTGAATACATTAAATTGAGAAGATGACATGCATCCTTTTTTTAATCTTGTAAAAATGAAATGACAGCCATTTTGGTGAAGTGGTGAAGTAGTGACGCACTAGGCTAGAAACCAGTAGACTGTGCATTTTAGTTCCACCTTAAGCACAAAGGCAGCCGGGGGATCGATGATTTTATGCTGGGGGTGGAAGAACAAAAATCTTAACATCAGGTTTTTATTTTCATATGTGTGTTAAAATATCCTTTTTTTAAATTGTGCAGTGATGCCAATTGGTGGAAAGGAGAACATCACAGAGGAATAGGATTATTCCCTTCTAACTTTGTGACCCCTAATTTAAATGATGAGCCTGAGACAGGTAAATTTAACAGAAATTTGATTTTCAGAACACTTCAGGTATCATATATGTAATATCATCCCATTCTTGTTCAGGAAACTACTAAAAAACCTGAATGATTTGTCCAAAGCTGCTAAGAATGCTGGATGGTTTTCTGCCTTGTAATGCCCACTCCTGTTCTAATTGTTAACTCACTGTTACTTAATGTTCAATAATCAGAAGGTCTTGCACTTGCTGAGAAGTAATTTGTCTCATGTCTGTTAATGGTGTATTGTTCTGGAGCTGCATATGGAGATGATACAAATTGTATTCATGAAGAAAGTTTATTCTTAAATGTCATGTTCATGATCTAGTGTTTTTACTGTTGCCAGACAAAAGTATTCTAATATCATGAGTCAGACACTGCTATAATCATGATTTGAAGAGTAATTTGCTCTGAATTATGCATTTAGATACAAAGTGCTTTTATATTTTAGAAGAAATATTTTGAAATCACACAAACAGAATTTAAAACTTATTTTCTCTGCGTTTATATATTCTTCACCAGGGATTTCCAGCCATTTGGGTTAATGAAAAATATCCCAAACTACCAAAACATGTATTGAATATCCATGGATTGATTAGGTTATTAAGCCAAACATCTCAAGCATCTGGGTTATTAAACTATGAAATGCCTTCCAGCCTTTATATGATCTTTATCCTGATATTTATTTCAGTCTCTAACTTTACCCTGTGTTGCATAATATATGCCACCCAAAAGTGTTTTTTTGCCTCTGCATACCGTAGGGTTTCTTGCCACACACTACTTTACAAAGATACCCAAACTAGATTAAAAACATTTAAACAAGTACTGAACATGATCCCTTCTGTATTAGCTGTCTTAACTAAAAAGCTCAATTTCCAAAGTTTGCTCTTCTTGCTGTTTGTTTGTACACAGTAATCTAAGTTGTTAATAATCCGAGTTGTTAGGTCTGTCTTCGAATCTGAACATGGGTTATATTGACAAAAATTGATTATATGCTGAGAAGCTAGATTTGGAGGAAGACTAACGTTGTCATGGTCTTTACGCAGTGCCTATAGACAAGGATGCTTCTGAAGACACTACTGAAATTACAAAACCTGAGCCAGAGCCAGTGTACATAGATGAGGTATGCCTTGGCTTTCCACCAGCATAATACATTTTAGGCAGCTTTTTCTTTGAAGAAGCTACCATGTCCCCTTGCCACAAAATGAAGTTGGTACTGGGTTTTGAGAATTTGAACTCACAATTTGAATATCTTTCTAAATATATATTTCTCCATCTTCCAGAATAAGATGGATAAGACACTGCAGTTACTTCAGAGCATAGATCCAACAGATCCTAAATCTGATTCTCCTGAACTTCTGGATTTAGAAGGTATCACTACTGCTAAATATGATTTTTTTTTAAATTGTAATTCAGAGCTATTGTCATTTTCATGTTTTTCATTTGAAAGGCAGGTGAAATTCTCTTTTCTTTTTGCATGCTAGGCCGATTATCATTCACCTGATTGCATTCACCTTTTATTTATGAACAATTAACTGATCAGATGTTTGTATTTTACTGTTCATAGATGTCTGTCAACAGATGAGTCCCATGATAGATGAAAAGCTAGAAGAAATTGATAGGTAAGGCAGTTCTGTAATGCTTACAAGTAAAAAAAAATGCAATTTATATTTAAATAGTACAGTGTATGAGCAAAAAATAAGATGGGTCATCAAACAGCTTCAAAAATTCAGATATCCTACCTAGTGTAATAATTGTGAAAACTAAGCCCAAAGGACTAAGTGTAGTATGTCATATGCAAACTGGCATGTGACATATTTAGGAGTTAATAATTTATTTCCAAGAACCTTTCCTGTCTAGGCTGAAGTTTTACTGGGGGTGCTTGATGCTCTCTGAGTTTGGTTGTTTTCTTGCTGATGTTTCATTCATTGCATCATCATGCTAGCACTTGGGTAATGAAATGTCAGCAAGAGAACAGCCAAGCTCAGAGAGTACCGAGAATTCCTCATTTGACCCCTGAGCTGCAAATATTCTTCCTTATGAATTTTTTTTTTACTCAAATTAAGCAAAACCAATTGACCAGTGATAACTGAAACTGCTTCATTCACTCGAATAGGAAACATTCAGAATTGTCCGAACTAAATGTGAAAGTGATGGAAGCTTTGGAACTCTACAATAAATTAATGAATGAAGCTCCTATGTATTCTACATACTCAAAGATACAAACGGCACAGTATGCACCCACGGCAGCCAATGTTCCAGTGCAGGTGGGTATCTTATTTTTACTACCACTTTCTAGAAGGATTCCCTTCGCATACAGTATAATGGTTGCTGCCGTGCGCACAAGAACAGATCACTGCAATATGAAGGACTTGAATTTCCACAAAGACTTTAAATGTCTACTGCAGAACGTGTCAGCATATGCTTAAACAGATGTAGATCCTACTTCTTAGAATCAATGAGTGTCAAGCAGTGTTGCAATTGCAGCTTTTCCATGAACCTTCAATGCAAAGAATTCTGTTTGTTGAAAGCAGCATTTCATGATATTTGTCAGTTCTGTCTTCTCCAGAACCCTTCAAAACAGTTCTCATAAAAAGAAGGTATTGCAAAACCTTGTATGCAGTGGGGGTTTTGTGAGTCTCAGTTAGGATTTAATTAAACATGTCTCCATCCAAACTTAATAAATGAGTGAACAGAGCTGCTTTTCCAGTATGACTCAGATGGCATATGTAAGACTTGCTGGGATAATGGGCAAAATATTGGGCACTATCCTCCCAAACACTCGATCTCCTTCATAAATGACATCTCCACATTCATATATCAGTGCACTTTGAGTTGCTTTATGGACTTTCAGTGAGACTGTAATTGAGAGTTGTTCCTGTGCTGAGTTAACATATCTCACAATTTGACATGCACCACTTCTCTGAATCTACATCCCCCTTTGATTTATTTAATTTGTGTTTTTCGTAAAAGAATTGCTGGGGGATGGAGTTTGAGGGAAGAAAAGTTAGAAGCGCAATTAAACGAACAAGTGGTTGCGTATTTTAGATGGATTTTACATAATACAGTATGAAAAGAATAGTTACTATGGTAACTGCCACATCAAAGATAGTGCATTCATCTGTTATATTTTCCATGAGCTCTTTGAAATGATTGACAGTATTTAGGATGTGAGGGGAAATAATGAGCATTAGATGAATATCTAATATTCTCTCACTTCAAGGTAATATTGTATTCAGTTGAAGACTAAAGAACAATAAGGGAACATCTACATTTAAAGGAGCAAATATTTTTATAATATTTAATCTCGACTTACACACCGTTGAATTAAAAAAAAAACATTTTCTGTAAAAATGCTTTCTATATTACTTCAGTATTTTCTTCTTTCTACATTCATTCATTTAAACAGTTTTAAGACTATGTTTAGAAAAAAATCTCTTAAAGCAGAATATAGCATTTAAAGCCACAGTATATGATATAAATAACATTTTATTAAGACCTTATAAACATAATAAAAACATTCATTGCTAATAAATCAAGCATTTATTTAACTGTTATAAATTCTGGACTGATAAAAGATATTTTTTGCGAAAACAGCTATATAATCTGGACCATATGAGATTATCTTCATTTAGGGTGAAAATATGCTCACATTTTCTTCATAAAATGATAGGCCCAAAGTCCTCTTTTTAGGACTATCGGATTTAGTACATTTTTTAAATGAAGCACTCTAATTTATATAACATTTATGTCATTCTAATACATTTTGGAAAACATACATAATTTTCTTGCCATCCATGTTGTTCTGATAATCCTGTGACATTGGTCTGAGATACAAAAATTGCCCTATGCTTATTTTATAAGCTTTAATAATGTCCTGATGTAAACTTATTACTTCCAGTATAGCAGAAATATAAAGCAAGCTGCTTGAAATCTGTTGTAATGGACAATGGCATTTCTTCTTGGGCTAAAATCATATTCAATCTTATCTGGCATATTGAAGGTTGCATTAGAAGTGAGCAGAGTTTGAGCAAGAAGAAACTAGCATCACTTAATGTTCTCAACCGAGTTACCCTTTTCATTACTTAATTTCCAAAGTGGGTATGGGTACATGCATGCTACAGCTAGGTAAATCTGATAAGCCCTTGATAAAGATAGTAGCCACAAAACAACCAGAACAAAGCTTCAGTTGTATTAAATAAGAATACAAAAGCTATAGTGACATTAAAATAGTGAAAAGCAGGATGCAGTGATCTGTTTGCAAATTTGCTTCAGGCCACCATAGCTCAGTGGAAAGTAAGAAAAGGTAGGGGTCCTTTACAGTGCACCAACTGTGCCACAAGCATGACCCCTGTCACCCCACCCTCCAGCATCTGTTTTGAGTAATCATTTTCTTAAACCCCTGCAGATGATTCTTGCAAGCCCTGAAGGTTCATGGATTCATTCAGTGATAAAACTATTTCACTTCTCACGTAGTGAAAGTTCTTTCCCCTCTCCCCATCTCTTCCATGTACAAATCAGTTTCAGAAAGTCATCATCTGTCTGTACCTAGCAAGATTTGAAAGATTATTTTGGTAATAAAAAAATAGGCTCCGTCCGCATGATACTGGTGTACTTTTTAGGTTCTTGTATTAATGACTACTGGAAGAGTTACTGCTCCTTCCTTTTTAGAACTATCCTTGTGCTTCAGAAGGTCAGTTCTGTTTCTGTTCCTTTTGCAGTCATATCCCATCCATCCTCACAGTGGGAATTATGTGGTCCATGGTATGCCTCAAAGCTACAATCCAGGAAACGATCAGATTGGTCCACTGAGGTCTTTGCCTCCAACCGTGAATTCCTCAGTATCATCTCAGCCCGCTCCGACCTACATGAGGTAACCCACTAGCAAGTTTTATCTAATCAGCTTTATCCCCATCTCTCCATTATGCTTGTGGGGTTTGCTGAGCCTAATGTCTTTATTGTATTTCAGCCCTGGTCTAGATTCTGTGTCAGGTTCTACTTACATGAACCAGAATTCTTGCCTCCCGCCCACTGGTCCCGTTTCTTATGCCCAGCCGATGGGCATGCCGGTGGATATGCTAGCCTACCAGAACACTGCATCCAGTTTGCCTCAAGGTCTGTGCTATCCAGCAGTTCCCACTCATTCACTTCCACAGCAGCAAACAAATTATCACCAGCAGCCTCTCCTGTGAAAATGCAGAGTTGGAACCTGGGAACCATTTTGGATGTTGCTGACCCGTAATCTTTTAAATTGTCCTTCCATTGATTTAAAAAGATACTTCTGCTGAAGGGAACAGACAACTAAGCAATTTCAAAGTAAATGTTAATTCAGGCTTAACTGTTTTTCTGCATAGCTGTTTAAACTAGGTGAGCTGCGGTTGTGTTTTTTAAAAAAAAGCTTTCCAATCCTGACTTCTGTAATATTCTGTGTGTGTCTCCTCGCTATTTATAAAAATGCTACTTCAATTTTTCCCTTGTAAGAGAAGCTTGGAAACAAAGCTGATATATGCAACTCCCCCTGTTTGTTCTTTCGAGACTTTGGGAACATGGTAATTGTTTTTTAATGGAAGCCTTACATTTGAAGTGCTTTCTTTGAAACTCAGTTTGATTAGTTAGTTTGGATTTTGGTTTACACCCTTTTGAGATCATAATCTTAACAAGATTGCCTTTTGAGATTATACAATAGAGTCGTTATGAACCTGAGAGGATAACTTACACACACACACACACACACACACACACACACACCCCACAACGTCAGAGAAGTTAATATTCTCTATCTGAAGATGGAGAATTTAAAGAGTGCATTTGTAACTTCATAGATTTCCTAACACAAATGGACCTGATCAAATCTGGATCAGTCTTTTCTCTCTGTTCTCATTCCCTGGCATTACTGAATGTTTACCTATATGAAGGAGAAGCTGATAATTATGCTGTACTGTAGTCACAGCAAGGATTTATGTGCAGAGTTTTTTTAACCTTAACTGGTAAAATGCGCATTGTGTAAGGGAGTGCAAAAAGGGATATGGCAATGTATTTTTCTATTGTTGAGAGGTCATAAAGAGTTCCTGTCCAGGTTTTTAAAAAGAAAAATTTTCTGTTCTGAATACTTGCTCATTTCTTGCTACTCATGGATTTTATCCTATTAATAACAGGATTATTCTAAGGGAGGGAAAATAGATCTTGCATACACTATAGTTGGAAATGGGAATGGACACATTATTAAAATAAGTTGAAATGTATAAGTCAATGCAAGGAAATTATTGGCATTTTATACTATGCTCTAAAGAGTTGTTCTGCAGTATCTGATGCCTGTTGTATCTATCATCAAATGAGCTCCATTTTTCACTTCCAATATTGGTGCTAAGTAAGCTATTTAAATTTCTGGTAATACAGTGGTCTAGACCACAGTGTCTTTGAGAAGGCGGTTTCAGAAAAATGTTGTTCATCTCTTTCTATCAACAAGAACACTTGTGTTTTCCTTTTGGGTGTTGGTTTCATTTTAAACTTCTCAAAAATGTTTTAATTTTAAAGGCTGCTTTTTAAAATCCTGATTTAGAACCAAGTCAGGGTTTTCTCATTCAGCTCCAACATTTTATAAACAAAATGAGGATTTTGAATAGTGCATTGCTCTTCCACGTTGATACATTATTAGATGGTCCATTTATATTGATCACAATCTTTGATACTACTTTAAGCGGTACCCAATATCTGACTGTGATGTTGAGTTGAAACAGTCTTTTTTCACTGCATTTTGTCCTTTATATATAATGTATAAATAATAAATGTGTATATATATCCACTGGTCTGAGATTTTATACACAGCTATATATACTAATTCTCTCAAATCACTGAAGTTTTATAGGTAGCTGCATTTGGCTCTATTGTTAATTGGTGTATCTTAAAATGCATTTATGCAGGCTGTAAATATGTATAAATTCTGATGTTCAATTGGTGTATTTAATGTTTCGGTGTCAGTAGGGATCATGTTTCTTCCCTTTTCTAAACTAAAATATTTATTGTTAAGGCATGATTATAATGATGCTACCAAAGGAATTAACAACGTATTTCCATAGTTAGGGCCCAGACTTTCATTTGCATCAGTGAGTATGTAGCCATTGATTTGAATGGAATTTCAACTATTCTGCAGACGTATACCTATTTTTATATTAAGAGTAAACAAGACTTGCTTTGCTTGACATACATTAACTGAATAAATAGAAATTCTTTACAGTTCATAATGAGTGTTTTGTAATTTGTTTTGTGGGCGTTCAATTAAGGTTCAATTTATGTTTAGAAATAATTTGCTATCTTAAATTTGCATTTGAAAAGTTGCCCAAGATAATTGTCCAAGCTATATCACCATACGTTTCAATTTTTTTCCCTTCAGAGATTCATTCTTAAATAGCCTTGTGGTTTCAAAAACTATGGAGTCCAAATATTTTCATATTTCCATTTGCCATGCCCCACTCCCTTTTAGAGTTGCAAGATTTTAAAATATCCCTTATTACAGCGATCCCCAACCTTTTGGGCACCAGGGACCGGTTTGGTGGAAAGAGGTTTATCTGCAGACTGGAGGGGGCGTGGTTTTGCATGTTGCCTGCTTCCTGTGGATGGGGCTTCGCTTGTTTGCTGGACTGGTTTCTGGCATGCCACAGACCGGTGCCGGTCTATGGATGGGGGTTGGGGACCCCTGCCTTATTACTTTCGTGCTGACTTGGTTTTCCAGAAAATAAAAGAGTCTCAAAGTGCAATACTTCTTTTATTATGTATCAGTGCTGCTCCGTAATCGATTTAAAGGGAACCGGTGGTGGAATTACATCCTCCCCCCCTCCAACTTCATACAAGCCCTTCATTGCTATTGCTTATTAGATTGGGGAGACATGCAGGTTGAGTGCAAGGAGGAAAGCAGAAGGATCCCAGAATTACATAGAATCATAGGGCTGGAAGCGATGTTGGAGGTCTCCTAGCCCAACCTCCCACCCCCACCAAGCCGGGAGATGTTATATTATCTAGGACAAGTAGATATCCAATCATTTTTTGAAGCACTGGGGCACCTCCAACTCTGGGAGGCCAACTCTTCCATTGATGAATTGATTGCTGTCAGGAAGTTTCTCCTTAGTTCCAGGTTGGATCTCGCTTTATCGAGTGTCCGCCCATTGCTTCTTGTCCTGCCCTTAGTTGCTTTAAAGAATAAGTTGACCCTCTCGGTGACTGTCCCTTAAATACCAGAAGGCAATTGTCATGCCACCCCTATTTGTTGGACTAGACATCCTTAATTTCCTTAACCATTCCTCATATGATTTTTCTGTTCTTCCTTGCATTTTTCCCCCCAGAGTTTCAGCATCTTTTTGGCATTGTGGTGACCTAGACTGAACACAGTGTCCCAAGCGTGGCCTCTCTAGCACCACGCTTAGTAGGTTGTGTTTTTGTAAAAGGTATTGTTAATGTAATGCCTGAATATAACCCATAATTTCTCAAAAATGTGCCAGGATATCAGGAAGTTGTTTATTTGTTTGCTTTTGTAATAAACTTATGTAGAAAACTTATGTAACTCCTCACGACACTGAATTAAATTTACTTTGAAATTGCATTTTAAGTGGTGGGAAAAAAAGGGATTCTACTACAGAAAGTTGGGATCAGTGAAATGCATTCTGAAGATTAATGCATTTAATTATTAATCTGAAGATTAATAAAACATTATTATTATGGTTACTTGTTCAAGATGAGATTTAATCATTTCTTTCCTGCAACAAATTACATTTTGAATATTTCTGTACAATATTTTTCAAGCAACCTCTGGTATTAACCGTGCAATCCTTTACTTTAGAATATCTTGTCTCCAACTTATTTGCACAGACTTGTGCAAATAAAACTTTTTCAATAAATTCTTTAGTTGTCTTTAGTTGTCTTTTATATTGTGGTAGTGCTGTGGGTAGAATGCAATACTGCAGGCTACTTCTGGCTGCCAGCAGTTCGGTCCTGACCGGGTCAAGGTTGACTCAGTCTTCCATCCTTCCAAGGTTGGTAAAATGAGGGCACAGATTGTTGGGGCAATAGTCTGACTCTGTAAACCGCTTAGAGCTGTAAAGCACTGTGAAGTGGCATATAAGCCTAAGTGCTATTGCTATTACTTCATGGTTGATCCCCAGTAACTTAAATTTGTTTGTTTCTTGGAATGGAAGCTGGCTTTTTTTCAGGCTAGCTCCAGGAGGAAATTGCCTTCTCCTATTGTTATTGCATTACATTGGACAGGTGAGAGGGACAGAGTGTCTTTTGTGGAAATCAAAATGGCGACTATGTACAATTCCAAGTCTCTGGCCAACTGCATTCGCAATTGATATTAGAAATGGGCCCTTAGCACTCCAAGGGTAGCTGATACTGATGCCAGATGACCTTTTCATTCAGTTTAGTTTTTTTTTCTACATATTTGGGTATCTTCAACTGCAGGGGTTGTAAAGAAAATTATATGCTGAAACCAAATATTGCCACAAGCCTTTTCAGTTTGACACAGCATGATTTGGAACAAAGAGCAGTTATATAAACAGTCGTTGCCCTTTACAGCTAATTGCTTCTCCTGGAAAATTGTTTGAGTAGCCCCAAAACTGGAAAATATAGAACCTTGTGGTACACGATGCTAAAGGTGATGATTGAGAGAGAGTTAGTGGAAAGGCCCAAGAGATGTGCAAACTGTTTTTAAAATGGAACAGTTGTGAATTTGAAAAGAGCTGTTTTGACCTGATTGGAAGTGTTCCAATGCTCCTCCAAGCTTAAAATATCTTACTTTGCACTTAAAACACACAGTGGGGTTTAAAAGATTTCTGCTGAGGCCAGAACAGCCTGTTTTGGAGTCGGGGCTGTTCACATTTCAAATATTTTGCAATTTCTAGATAATTCCACCTTCACAAGCAAGGTTCCTTCAATTCTTGCAAACAATCACTTAGATGTCATTCTCAAATTCCAGATTTACAGCATACATAAATAGTCTCAGTCCATATGCGTGGTAATAATAGGCTATGTATGAGCCCACTGATCCAGAAAGGAGTTATAGTTCTCTTTCCAATATAATATGGTCCTTTGGCTTTGTAGATAATTATAGTAGTGGTTCAATCTCAGCAAGCTGTATATATGTGGATATCAACTCCCAATATTTTCAACAATGACTACATTGGTTGGGAATTCTAGTTTATGTCTGCATCTGAAGCCTGTCTGCTTGGAAAGACTGGGTTACATACAGAAGGCTATTTGGGACAATAATGCTGTATTTATATTGCTGATTATATTTTATTACTGTGCCCTTGTGGATAAATGCAGTCGCAGCATATTTCTCTTCTTAACTTCATACTGACATTGTGGTGTTGAGACATCAATTGCTGATATGTCTTTTCTAAAAAAAAGTAGGAAAGTGGGAGAATGACAAGGAATCAAGGAAGCAAAAAGTTCAGAATATTAGCAGTCATTAAGACAAAATATTACTTAGAACATAACACAAGCTGAGGATACCTTATGACCCAGTTAAGAGTGGGAAATAAAAGGATTATGTAATTTGCCCTCCTTATAAGGCTTGGAAGCAAACTTCCTGTGAGTCATTCTTCCTCTGTAATTCACAAGATCCTATACTGTCAATTACTTATTTGCCTTGATGGCATCACTTGAATCTTTGGGTGTTTTAGCATCTTTAACAGAAGAAAAGAACCCCTATAATCTTATTGGGATTGCTGAATCTCCCAAATTATCTTGTACCATTTTGGAATGCTCAGATTCTGACAATCTGGCATCCTCTTAAGAGAGATGGAATGAAAGTAGATCAGAGAGAATAAAAATTTATGATGTGTAAAGTTGGTTTGAAGTCAATAAAGGTTTTGAATAGTTATTTCTCACCTGATTTCGAAATGGAATGAAACAAAGTCAGATAATAAAAACATATGAAACTTCAATTTCAAAGGACGTCCTATATCTTAAAAAAAAAAAAAGATGAGATACTTTTTGATGCTTGTGTATGGAGATTTTCAGTCATCCAGGTCATGGTTATCCCAAAGAT